TTCTGATAAATTCATCTTTGTCCTACACCAATTAGTCTGGTTTTGTCTAACTGGAGTTTCTAGCTCTCTGTTTTTCTTTCTGTTGTTTTTATTCAGAGGTCATTTTTTCGAGGATTAACTCAAATACAGTGGAAAAGGAAAGAGATCTTCTCCTTTGAAGAGTACTAAGCAGGAAAAATAAACAGTGGTACTGGTGAGGTGGATCTGCCCCCATGGAGGACAAGAGTCCACTGAACCTTTAATTTCAGTGTCCACCATGGATAACAGACTATACTTCCTTTTTTTTTCAGTTGTTGATAGACCTTTATTTATTTATACATGGTGCTGAGAATTGAACCCAGTGCCTCACACATGCCAGGCAAGTGCACTACCACTGAGCCACAGCTCCACCCCCCCGGACTCTCCTTCTAATGTCCCCAATTGTACTGGCCTACCCTCTAGCTGAGTCATACTGCAAGAATATGTGACAGATTCTGTTTTAATTTCTAAAGGATTAAACCTGACAGCGTGTATAATTAAACATCTGTAACTCTTTTGCTTCCTGACTGTGGGAATCTAATACCTTGAAAAGAGCTATAATATCTTTGTTTCCTATAAATTTTTATGAATATGTATGCACACGTGTATTGTAGGTTTTGTACTTTTATTTATAAATTGTGTGCATGATATCAATAATGGCACATAGATAAATGAGTGCTCATAAGTTTAAAAAAATAGACCCAAATGCCTTTCAGGTCTTGTGACTTAAATTGGTTAAAAAGATGAGTAAAGATATCTTTAAAAATTACTAACCTACATGTTTTTTTTTAAAGTGGCCAGCCAACCAAGAAAACAGTAGTATCTATAAAATGTTCAAAAACAACATCCATTGCTTTTAAGGATTTTCCTTTGCAGGAATAATTGACTTAAAGGGTTAGCTAGATTTGTCTGATATCTTGGTTTTCATGGGTAACGTAATGTTAACTAGAATGAATAAATTAGATTTACATAAATGGGATTAATCTTCATAAACCCGTTTGTTAAAAGAGATACCTGATTAATTTACAAAGTTAAAATACTCAAACATCAAGTGCTAAATACTAACTCAAGTACTTTTGGCTTTTTAAGTTCCATAAGACAAAATATTTGGGGGTTTATTAAATGTATTTTTATATATTGTTAGTAAATGAAAAGTCAGGTTTTAGATGGCTTTGTTTCTGAGCCTTTACTAAAAACAAGATGATTAAGGGTTAAAATTCTATTTATATGTGTTGTTCTAATGCAAGGAATAACAACAACAACAAAAAGAAAGAAAGAAAGAAAGAAAGAAAAGAAAAAGAAAACCAAACTAGTTTTGATGAAGAAAAAGAACCACAAGAAAAGCATAAAATATTTTATTTTTATTGAGAAAAAGAGTAATTTTGTATGTTTTCACAAAATATTAAGTACTGTTTCAAATTATGAACTTAAAAGATTAATAACTAAGGGCTGGGGATAAAACTCAGTTGGTAGAGTACTTGCCTCAAATGCCCAAGGCCCTGGGTTCAATCCCCAGCACCCCCCCMAAAAAATCTAATAACTAGGAAAAAATATAAGAAAGTTATAGATATGAAAATATGTTTTCTTAATATTGAAAAAACATGTTTCTGAAAGAGAAACTATCTGGCATGGTAAAGAAATATTTTTATCCTAAATTTCAAAATAAAAAGTGAGACAGGACAAAGCTAGGGATGTAAACAAGCTAGAGTATCTAAGTAAGTTACACAAGATTTGTAAAAGGAAAATCTCAAAAAGTTGGGGTGTTATTAAATGGCATATCCTCAGTGCAGTCAGTTAAGGTTTTTTTAAGGAGTCTTCTAAGGTCAACTTTTCACATACCAATATAAAACAAAGTCTAATTATTTATGCTTAAAAATGACAAGATTTTTGGGCTGGGGTCGGGGCTCAGTGGTAGAATGCTTGCCTAGCATGTGTGAGGCACTGGATTTGATTCTCAGCACCACATATAAATAAATAAAGGTCTATCAATAACTAATAAAAATATTTTTTTAAAAAAATGACAAGATTTTCTTTTCTTTTTTTTAGTTGTTGATGGACCTTTATTTTACTTATTTATATGTGGTGCTGAGTCTTGAACCAGTACCTCATACATGCGAGGCAAGCGCTCTACCACTGAGCTACAACTCCAGCCCCAAGATTTTCTTAAAACTTAGTCCTGATCTTATTTATCAAGATAATTTCTGTGTCTATTAGGTTTTGTTAACTAGGGTTCATACCTATTTTAAAGTATTTTTTTAAAGATTGTTTTATAGCTCTGGTTAAATAATCAACTGTTATTTTAGGATATTACAATAGAGTTGACACCTTAAATTTATGTGACCAGAGAATGTATACAATTGAAAACTAAACGTTTGTCCAAGCTGTCTTAAGTGTTATGTAAAAGCTTGTAAAATGAAAACTATATAGATTTAATACAARTATGATAACTGATGAAGGCTCTCTTTTGTACATTGTACCCCTCATAAAAGAGCCACACTGCCATTTAAAAATCTGGTTTACATTTGTTTCCTTTATTTACTTGATGTTTCATTGTTTTATAAATGAGATGCTTTAATACATCAGATAATAAGTCTATTTCTGATACCTCACCCGAATTAAGGCTCTACCTCTCACCTTACTCCATGTTAGGATAGCTCCAAAGTAGGCCAGGATTAAGCTCACTTAAAGTTATGTTCAAAAGGGAGATTTTTGGTTATAAAGATTACTGTGATTTCAAAATAAACAAGGGATATAATGCAAAACTAAGGAAAGATTTGGGGGAATTATAAAAGATATATAAAGTTGTAAAAGTTGCAAAAGAAAACAAAATTTGTAAAGAATTTCATATGTGATGAGTTAATAAATTAGTGGGTCTTTGTATATTCTAAATAGATATTAAATATACCTTAGTGTTATTACAGACACTATGTTTCTTGGTTTCAAGCTATTATAAAACTAAATCATCATACAACTTTATAACTGCTGTTAGTATTTTACAAAATTACTACTTCTAACAAAACAACATGAGCTAATTTAAGACAATAAACCATCAACTACAGGACAGATAGGATATAATGCTGACTTTCAATACTACTACTGACCCCAGTTAAATAAAAAGGTAACAATAAAATTATAGGCATTAAAGTTAAAACCTAGTACTCCTATTTCAAGAATGGCGAAACTGGCCTACTGGTGTTTAAAACCAAAACTTGGAGACTGAAGTCAAGGAAGTAAAAGTTGGGGGTGGGAGAGCAACCCAAACACAACAACAACAACAACAAACCAGCCAATATTTTGGTCCTTGCCCTCTAAGGTCAGCCTGAAGTCAGGGAACAACCGAACTTCTTTAAGGGCCCTGCAACTCTGGTAAGTCACCAGACCTCTTGATCAAAGGGATCTRCAGGTTCCTAGAGAATAGGAAGCCAACCAGTACACATTCTGCAATGAGGAGGGTCTGTAGAAAGGGAAAAGTCCCTGATGCTTCTGAGAAAGGTAGTTTACAAAAATCAAAGGACATTTCACAGCTCAAGGGGAAACCTGTGCTGTTATAAAAATTTAAAGTTGTGTATATATTTTTAGCAACTCTGTTGATGTTTCTAAAGCCTTAAATGACATCCACTCACAAATGAAAAACTTAAAACTCTAACAAGTTGCTATCTTTGTGGTCTTCAGAGGCTACCTGATAACACCGATTGTTTTTGTTCTAATTGTTTGCAAAAAAACAATACTTTGCTGTCTTGTTTATTGCTGTACTGGCATGATCCTTACCCTCTGTACACCTTGTCTAGTCACCTGCCAACTGCTACCATGGACCTCTGTACTGCAGACACCTGCAGAGTCTATTAAGCTCCARATGGTCATGGARATGCTACCTACCATGGAAGTACCATCTGACTTTTATAGGGGTCCATTAGATAGAGCTCTTTGGGAGGACCCTGACTGCTGTTCTTCTCTCAACCCCCCTTTTCAGCCTGAAGAAGCTAGAGTGGTCATTGCCCAAATTCCCTAACAGTGGTTAAAGTTACCTCTCCAGAGTGGGGAAGAACCTCAGGAGGAAGAGATAAGGCTGGGAGGGTAGGGAGATGGGCCCCTGGGTAAATTCCTGGGTGAAAGAGCACAAACAGCACCTTCAGATATTTTCTAAGAAACTTACAAAAAGGCTATTCTTAAATCAGGACCTACGTGACTGGGTCCATATCTTTCCAAAGAAGGGAACATGCATGATTGATATTTTTGAGTGGACTAAAGGTGCACAAATACCTCATGGATACCGAGTACCTTACCCAGGATTGGGCAGCGGGCCCACTTCCTTAACCTATAGATCTCTGTAAACCCTGAGACAATAGCTTTCTTAGGTATCCTTTATCCCTTTCTTGGGACACCTCCCTCCTTGGGAGCTCTGCTTTCTTTTTATTAATCTAATAAATTCTGTTACTTTGCTCTCACCCTTGTGTCTGTGGACTTTATTCTTCAAATCTGTGAGACAAAGAATTCAACTCCCTGCTCCGTGCTCTACTGACTTGACATATTTTTCTCCCATGGAGACATTTTACTCCTATACTTAATAATCTGTCTTGTTTTCATTTCTTCTGGCTCTTGGGGGCCTAAGTTTGGCATTGCCAGTCGTGCTGGGTAGAAATGCCTCCAAGTACCTATGACCTTTCTGAGCTATGACTACCCAGAAAGCTGGGACACCTACTGGAGGGTATGGATGTAGTGTGTGAAGCGAGTGGAGTAATGTGTCAGCTTTATTCTGGCCCAAGAAAAGCCAGGTCTGGGTCCTGTGAGAGCCCACAGCATCCCCACGGTTGTCTTCYGGGCCTGCCTCCGCCCCACACTGCCCGCCTTCTGCCCACGGTATGAAAACACCTAGCGAGACAAATGATGCAACTTGACTTTATTAGGACAGGATGGTGGGCACTGGAATGGCACTGCCCAGGGCAAGGGGAGGTGCTGGGGCAGTGGACAGAGGTGCCATGTCACTAGAAGGCACAGCTGCTTTCCACAAAACGGCGACATTTCATGACCCGCAGGTAGGTCTCGGCCTTGTGCAGGTCTTTCTTGAAGCAGGAGAGCAGCCCGTAGTTCTTGAGCAGCGCGTCATCACTGCGCAAGTTGATGTCAAACTTGTCATAGGTTTGCTTGAGGATCTGCCCAGCCCGGGGGCTGCCATCTTCCAGTTCCTACAAGAGGAAGAAAGGGCAGGAGAGGCCGAGTCCCAGGGAGCTCTGCCCTCCCTCTCGCAGCCATTTTCTTCCCTTCTCCCCTTGGAAGCCAGAGAAAAGCCAGAAGGATTTAAAAAGAGAATTGAGGAATGAGATGCATCCTCCTGCCTCAAGCCCTGACTGGTAAAAAGAGAGCAGCAGCGTTTCTGTCCCCAGCCCCATGGAGCTCCAGCCCTCAGTCCAGCCAGCAGGGCCTCCAGGCCCAGGCAGAGGTTGGAGATCCCGGTGTCATCCTCACCCGCATCAGAGCCTGGATGCCCTCCTCCAGGTCCTTCAATTTCTCATAGACGCGGTCCGAGGTGCCAAACACCAGGCTGTTGGTGAAGACCCTGCTGAGGAACTGCACGGGCCCCAGCCACGACTGGATGAGCAGCAGTGAGAAGCGCAGCAATTCCATGTCCTGCAGGGGAARGGCTGGGGTGTGGGGCTGTGGCCAGGGTGGCCTCTGCCTGGGCCTCCAGCACCACCCAGCTTGGGGGAGAAGGCTGCCGGGCGGGAAGAGAGAACTGTGTCTAAGGAGAGCCCAGAAGGCCACTTACGGATCTCTGCTGGGCCTCGTCCTTGCCCGTGGGGGCAGGGATGGTCTCTGAGAAGCAGAAGGCAGCCTGGGCGTTCTGGATGGAATACCGCTGTCCCTCGGGGATATAGGCACGCTCCTGGGGAAAGCACGTTTCTGAGGTTGGAGTTGGTGACCAGATCGCATGGCTATTTTTCGGGAACCCCTTCCGTTTCTGCTCATTTGATAGCACTTCAGCCCTGAGCCCCTCTGTTTTCTCCCATTGTTTCCCGGGGGTGGGGACTTGCCTCCTCCTGCCACCCCGCCCAGTGCTCATCCTTGGGGAGCTTACAAACTCTTTGTAGGTGTCTGCAGCCAGCTGGTGCAGGTGTTGGGCTCGGAGCACAGCATTGGTGAACAGGCTGGACAAAGGCATGGCTGGGAAGGTGCTGGCTTTCTGAGGCCAGGACAGGCAGAGCAGCATGAAGGCCAGGAGCCAGGCAGTCCGACAACCTAGAGAAATGCCGGAGGGCCAGGAGGCCCTAAGCAGGGGGCCACTCTGTCCAAGCCCCTAGAGCATTTCCTTCTCTTCCCACTCTCCCCGGGGACTGAGACCATTCTCAACATGGCCGAATGTTAGGCTTAGATGGCTATACTCATATTAAGAAGCCCTAAATACCAAGGTTAGTGTCCCTATTGCACCTGCAGGGCCCCTTCATCTCCTCTTTGTCTACCCCAGGCCAAAGGGGGATTGGGGTGCTTACCTGCAGCCATTGCACCTGGGTGAGCTATCCACAGAACCCTGAGCAGTTTGAGGAGCTCGGCCCTAGGATCCTGGAGTTGGTCCCTTGCAGGCCCTTTTTATACCTGGCTCCTTCCCCCCTCTCCAAGGCCCCCACCTATTTTCTCTATACATTTATGCATGGGGGCACTGATGGCTGTGTTGATGGATAATTTAGAAGCTTCTTCCACTCATCCGGTTCCGGCTCCTCGCTGGGGTCATGTCCCCCATCCTATCACCGTTCCCTCACCGCTCTGACCGGGCTTGTGAGGCTGGGCAGCGTCTCAGTGAGGGACCACCTCATCCTTCCTCTTTGTAAGTGGGAGGTGGTAGAGGAGAGAAGCCTGAGTCCAGGGRTGCTGTGCCAGGATGTCATTGTGGGATTGTCTGTCACATTGAGGATGGCCCAACAGGGACCCTCCAAAAGGAAGCAATGTCAGCATGGCTTTTTTTTTTTTTTTTTTCCTGTACTGAATGTTGAAGCCAGGACCTTGCACATGCTAGACAAGCTCTCCTCCGCTGAGCTACATCCCCATCCCTTTTTATTTTTTATTTTGAGACAGAGTCTTGCTAAGTTGCCAAGGCTGGCCTTAAATTTCTAATCCTTTTGCTTTGGCCTGACTCTCTGGGATTACAGGTGTGCACCCCGCAATGCTGGGCTAGGACGATATTCTTGAGAGCAACGCTGACCTCTTCCCACTCTCTGCATGGTTCCCCTCCACTTACCAGAGAAATCGTATGTGCTGGGGAAGGGGGCCAGGGACAGCCTATAGATCTTGGGGTCTCTGGGCTCAGTTCAGCCCCAAATTCCATTTTTGCTTCCTTCATCTCATCACCTTGGCCAGCTGCGGGGTGCTGGATGCAGTGCTAATTCTGACCACTAGGGGGAACAAACCCCACATATTGCTCTTTCCTTCCCCAAGTTTCTGGGTCTCCCTCAAGTCCAGGTCTATGGGGCAAAGAACCCAAACTTTGGGCATTGCCCCTACTCCTTGGACTGCCACAGAAATGCAAACCAAGAAGCAGAAATTCCGAGGACAGACCACAAGTGCTTCCTTCCATAGCCCTGAAACCTCAATATCAAAGTTGAAGACTTTGAGTCTCCTCCCTGTGTTAGAACTCAAGAGTACGGCAGCCTGAAAGATGCCCTCCACYKAGCTACATCCCCATCCCTTTTTATTTTTTATAAAAAGAAGGAGTCATTGTAGTCTCCTTCTCTTCCTTCTCCAACTCCTTTCAGTCTCTTTGCAGAGCTCAACAGGTGACGAGAGCCTGCCTCACATTCAACCCTTGCAAGCACCTTGTGAATGAGAAGTTACCATCACCAATTTTCAAGAGGAAGAGACCGAGGCTTCAAGAGACCGACTTGCACAAACCAACTCAGCAGAGGAGGCAGCTCTGCACAGACTTGCTTTCCTGTATTTCATTTACCTATCCCCCTCGCAGTCTCTGCAGTGCTGCTCCGTTATTTAATTTAATATTTATTTATTTTAAATATTTATTTTTTTTAGTTGTACACAATACCTTTATTTTGTTTATTTATTTTTATGTGGTGCTGAGGATCAAACCMAGGGCCTCGCATGTGCTAGGTGAGCGCTCTACTGCTGAGCCACAACCCCAGCCCAGTTATTTTAGCTTCTAAGGACGCTGGCATCCTCTCTCAAATCGCAAGAATGTCTTTACATCATTTGTCCTCCCTTAATGAGCAGATTCCCCCCGCCTCAGTTTTCAGGGAGAGGAAAGTCCCGGGGCACAGATTCATGTGGGAACCTTAGAGGAGGGCAAGGTGAGGACGGAGAAAGCAGGACTGGGCCTTTTGGCCTCCTGGTGCCCAGGTTGGTGCTGTTTCAGCATCTGAAGCAAACCAGCCTCCAATGCCCCAAAATAAAACACTGCCCTGCTGTGAAAAACTCCCACTCCTGAGTCTCAGAGTCTTCAGCACTCGACCATGTAGGAGAATAAACAAGTCAACCTTCCCAGAAATGATTGGTTCTATGGTTGGGTATAATGTTGGCACCAACATTGAAAAATCACACCCCTGTGGTCCAGAGTGTCAGAGCTCAGGCTGCTCCACCTCCCTGATTTTAGAACCAGAGACAGAGCATCTTTCCTTCCCAGCATTACCTAAGCATTGCCCAAGCAGTGCCCCCGACTCATTATCTGCTGGGAAGCCACCAGGATGCTARGGGTTGTTCTCCTGGTCATTCTGGGAAGACCTGGGCAAGGTGCTGGCTCTAGGAAGAGGGGCCACAGGGGACGAGAGGATACCCTTTCTTCTCCTCYGTCCAGCTCCCCTGAAGAGGAGGAGCCAGGTGGGAATTGGAGGGTCTCTGAGCCCACATAGCCTTCTGTCATGTTCCTCCTACATTCCCAGGAGAGGGGACAGTCTACATGGAACTCCCATGACAGAGACCTCTAGCTAAGACTGGGGAATTATATATGGACTTTGGATAAGAGGGAAAAATCTCTGGCCTCCCCTGGGAGTGAGGACAACAGGAGCCGGAGTTGACTTTGATGGTCACATAGGAGGACATAATTGAGGTGTGGCTGAGGCACCAGAGAGGTGACTGCCAAGGACAAGGTGGGACCAGCCAAGGAAGAGGAGCCTCTCCTCTCACCATCTCATAACTGAGGTGATCCCAGAACTGTGGTGGCCAGGGACATGGAGCTCCCTGGGGATACGCTTTGCAACTACTGGATCCAGAAGGAAGACCAGAAGGCAGCAGAAGTTGGTGATCTCTAATCCAGACCTTTTCAGAGACTATATCTGTCATTCATTATGTATGAAAACAAAGCTTTGAATTGGACTTGAGATTTTCCCTTCCAGTACCTCTGAGACCCCTGACTCCTCCAGGTTCAGACTGCCCAATAACGATGTCTATCACTGAGGAGGCCATGATGTCAGCCACCAAAGACTGAACCAAATCACGCAGCCCTTCATATTTGTACTGCACGTTTCATTGTTCATCTCCAAAGATCACCCCATTTATAACTTGGAATCCATTAGCTTTTCAGTGTATTTGGAAACTCTGTGCCTGTCGTGAATTGACCATCTCTGGGGTTCTCTGTACCTACTGAGAAGGTCACAGATCTGCTCTTGATCCTAATGTGGCCTTTCAGGCTTCAAGAGCCCCCTCTTAGGTTCAAGTGTGTGCCCTGAGGGTGATTTCATTTGCTCACTCTGGTCATAGGGAGGATGGTGGTAGAGAGATGGGTGGCCCATCTTTCCACTCCTCATTGGTGATGTGAGACCCACACTTCCCACCTCCAGCTCCGTCCYGTCCCTGAGGTCAGAGGCTGGTAATCACACTTGGGACATACTCTACCTCCTCTCAGTTTCCAGTGTCCTATGCATGAGTTTTAGCACCATTGATCCCTCAGCCCCTTGGGTCAAGGTTCTTTAGAGAGGATTTTTTAAAAATATTTATTTATTTATTTTTTAGTTYTCGGTGGACACAACATCTTTGCTTGTCTGTGGTGCTGAGGATCGAACCCRGGCCGCACGCATGCCAGGCGAGCGCGCTACCGCTTGAGCCACATCCCCAGCCCTTTAGAGAGGATTATGTGGGGATTCCCAAGGTCTTTTCCAAGGAGGTGTGTTTCTGAAGGCCTACACGTGCCTGTACTATTCTCAACAATAAGATGTTTAAGTCTCATTTCATAATTGAGGATGCAGAGGCTCAGAGATGAAGCAGTCTGCCCAGGCTCTCCCAGTTCCTAAGGGATGGCTCCTTGAGGCCCCCAGTCTCCCCGTGCCAAGTGCTTCAGCAGCCCCATCTAGTAAAGAGGGTGGTGTCCTTTGATGTGGGCAGGACTCTCCTGGGCCAACCAGGATCGAGTCCCCGCATGGAAGGTGTTGAGTAAAGGTGGTGGAATTGCAGGCAAGGGACCTCAGCCCCAGGATGGGCTGTCTGCCTGCATTCAGGACAACAGAAAAAAACAGCCCACCATAGCCAGATTCAGTGAACCAAATCACGCCGTCCTTCACATTTGTATTGCACGTTTCATTGTTCATCTGTGTTTTCACTTCCTGTATCTCAATGGACCCTTGAGTTTGCCCCGGTGCAATCAGAGCATGGAGGAAGCTCCATGGGGAGGGTGCTGGGGGAGGATGGGGCAGATCCTGTGTGTCGATGGGGTGTTGTTTACACTGGCTGACAATCCCGGAACAATCTAGAACAACAGGACCATCTAGGTAATTCCTTCTGCTTTGGGAATTATTCTCCAGGGATAGTGCTCCATTGAGAAAGAAGCGCCACGCTCTGAGGGGTGTTCCAACAGCTGCAGGGAGCCCGGGGTGCTTTTCCTGAGGTGTGCCCTTGCTGGAAATAACCACGCCCACCTTGTGCTGCGGTTACATGTGGACGTCTTTTCCCCTTTACTCCTGCTCGGTAGGCTCTTAAAAGTGAGGCTGGGTTTCTGCCGTTCATTCGTTCACTCACTCTCTCACACATTCTCTATTCAGGCATTAACTGATTCAATAAGGAGTTGTGCCAGGCAGACGGGCACACCACACTCTCTTTTCTGGAGCTTACGATCCACTGGGGAGAGAGACAAGAGCCAACAAATACAAAATTTCAAATTGAGGGAAACTACCATGAAGGAAATGGCAGAGAGACTGAAGGGGAAAGAACAAACCAGGGAGTGGAGAGAGTGGGCAAACCGGTGCAGGCGGGGACCCCAGGATTAAAAGCATCTGCTGAGTGGAACAAATGAATGGAGGACACAACTGAGAGAGGAACTCAGGGCTCTAACCAGCCAGGGACAATGAGGTGGATATGTCCTACCTAGATGTCCTCCTGCAAGTAATTATTTTGAAATAACAAAGACATGAACTTGAATGTACGGCAACATATACATGGAAAAAAAAAGAAAGAAAAGAAAAGAAAAAGTGAACAAGGCTGTATGCTCGAGCTGACTCCAAGTGCACACCAATTTTCTACTAGACTCGGGACTTGCAGAACCTGGACTGAGAAGAGGTGTCTTGCCTTCCCTTCCTGCCCCGTGGAGAAAATGGGTTAGGTCCAAGGGGAAAATGTCTCTTTCTTTCTCTTGAAAATTGTATTGGGATCAGTCAAAACATGTTTCAACAAACTACACTCGAGTTGAATTCAGGACTTAATGCCTGTTAATTTTTGTCCTTTGCGGTCATCTAAGAGAAGGCTTTTGGGCAGGGTAGGGCAATGGGGTGTTTCAAGCGAAAGGCTGCTGTTTCCATGACAACACAGGACCCAAGGATGTCATACCAGTGCCGCTTGGAGACCTGGACACACCCAGAATTCCCCAGATTGGGTTCTGACTCCAGCTCTGAAGTGGACTAACGGGAACAGACAGAAGTCAGGAACCCCAAACTTCATGTTCCTTGATGGCCTTCGGGGCCCTGTGTAGGATAAGGATGAATGCTCCCCCCACTGTCACCCCAGCAGTGGCAGATTTTCACATTTTGTTTTTCTCTCACCTCTGGTTCTGCTGGAAAAACACTCAAAGCCTCAGGTCAGATGGCCCCAGCCCTAGCAGCACCTGCAGCAGGAGGGCCGGAAGTCAAGCTAGGTCAGAGGAGGAACCAGCCTGTATTTAAACCAAGGTCCCAAGGGACCCAGCTGGATTTCCCCCAGTGGGCAGTGGGGCATGATCCCACCGAGGGTCTCAGAGCTGTTCTGGGGAGGGGGAGGCTGGCAGGAGCTGGGATCCTGCAATGGTGGCCCAGGGACAGACTCTCGAGCATGTTGGGAGGACTGTCCAGGTCTTGTTAACAAGGGGTGGGTCCTGTCGGGCTTCAGACTTTCTGAACAACAGGAAGAGTGAACCTCTTCAAAGCACAGAGCTTTGAAGAAGTCAAAGTTGTCCCAGGATCTCCTCTCCCTTTTCTTTCCCTTCTCCTTTGGATTAAAGTCTTACTGCTGCAAAATCCTGCAAGGGAGGAGATGTGCTGGGGGGGGCAAGAATGTTGCGTCTGGAGTCGGGAGGTTTGTGCCTGACCTTTGGCCAATCCAGGCGATTCCTTGTTTGTAAGATGGGGATGAGGGGTAAGCAGGGTCTTAACCCAGATAATGTAAATGAGTATGGGGTGCTCAATAAAATTTTATTGATTATTAAGAGGTGTGTTCATGGGCTGGAGTTATGGCTCAGTGGTAGAATGATTGCCTAGCACACTTGAGGTACTGGGTTCGATCCTCAGCACCATGTAAAAGTGAAATAAAGGTATTGTGTGTCCACCTACAACTAAAAAATAAATGTTTAAGAAAGAAAAAAAAAGAGGTGTGTTCAATAAAGAATTTGCACGCGCAGCTCAGGAGGCTGAGGCAGGAGGATCTCAGGTTCAAAACCAACTTCAGCAACTTTGCGAGGCCCTCAGCAACTCAATGAAACCCTGTCCCAAAAAAATAAGTGTTGAGCCCAATAAAAGTTTTTGTTTACATTCTGTCTCCTGATTGTGGAGGTAATTATACAAACCTATAGATATCTATACATGTTCTAGAATTTATAGAACTATATACCAAAAGAAAATCAACTAAATTTTACTATATGGTTAAAAAAAATCAGCATCTGGTTCAACTTCTGTTCTTCAGATAGTTATTTATTTATTTATTTATTTTTTGAGATAGGTCTCACTATGTTGCCCAGGCTGGTCTTGAACTCCAAGGCTCCAGCGATCATCCTGCCTCGGCCTCCATGTAGCTGGGATTATCAGTGTGCACCACCACTCCCAGCTTCAGATAGGTTTTATGATTCCCAGTTTACAGATAAGACAACTGGGGCTCGGGACACTCCTCATCCCCTCCACCAGCACCCTGCTAGGTTTCCGCGCCAGAGTCAATTCTGGGGCCAGGAGCCCATGAGACAAACAAAAACACCCACATAAAGCCCCTAAAACAGAAAAACAGCCAGGGAGGGCTTCTCCTTCATAACCCATGAAGACCAGCACCCCTGCAGGGTGTCTGGTGGAGGGACAGTCCCTGCCCAGATGATCTTCTGTCAACAGGCCCTTCAAGGCCATAGGGAAGCCCAGGGTTTCAAGGGTGTTAAATTGTCTTCCTGTTCAGCCAAGGCCTTCCCCGACCCAGGGCAGCCCCCAGCAGGGGGAGACCCTGATTGGGGGAAAAGTGAAGACTCTACAACCTCTGCCGGCTACCCAGGTCTCTGGTGGAGGCAGGTGGACAAAATTAGTGCCGCTATGCAAAGCGACAGGAAAGCACAGGATCCAGCTCAGTGGAGGCAGATGCCAAAACAAGCCAGTTCCCTGTGGCGCCCGGGTCAGGAAGGGAACTGCCCAGCCCAGTTCGCCCAGTCGGGCCCCCAGTGTGTCCTGCCTGGTGACACAGACAGGCCGGAGACTCCAGGTGTGCCTGCCTTACCCCACCCGCTCCCGGCCCCCAGGCTCTAGGGGGATCTGCTAAAAATTGGTGCTTCTCTCCGGCCTTGGTTCTCCGGGTAAACTGGAAGCTCCCTCAGGGTAGGGATTGGCCTGCCTGAATCAGAGCGTGGACCACAGAGAGGTGCTCTGGATCCCCGCCAGGTCAACAGGAAGTGGCACCCAGCCTGACTTGGGTGGGGGTTCTGGGCACAGGTTAATGGCACTTGACCGGGCTGTGAGGCACTCCCAGTCAGTCTCACACTGATAGATTTGGCCCTAATCTGTAGGGCCCTAGGGCCATTGTGGGGATAACCAGGGCCCTCAGATATGATGCTGGGGAAGTCTGAGGGGTCACCTGACTAAGGACCCCCAACTTCACCACACTATAGACTCCCTCTTTATGAATCTCTTGATGGCTTTGGGTCAAGTTTAAGAGAAAATGTCCCTGGCTTGGTGGGAGATGGGTAGGGAATGTTGTAGAGGCAGGAAACTCCCGACCCTCAGGAAGCTTCCAGTCTAACTGGAGAACCAAGAGTGCGTGAGCAGCCTGGGCAGCTGCCGAGGCCTAGCCTGCTCTGAACAGGGCTTGGCACTGCCTGGGGTGCTGTGGGAGGACTTCCTATAAGGAGGCCTTGATGGACAGGATTGGGATGGGGTAGGTAGGGGAGGACAAGATCTTCCAGGGTTGAGACTCTGGCCCTAAAGGCATCAAGGACAGAGGAGGGCAGGGTGACAGCAGCCTTGGCTGGATCTGCCTTCTGTGGTGGCTGTAGGCCCAGCCAGGGCCAGAGGTAATGGGCAAAGACAGGGGCATGTGACCACAGGCCCCAACTGGGTCTTCAGAGACAAGGGAGGTGATCATGGTGGTCCCCACCGCCCCACAGGTGCCACCTTTGGATGCCACACCTGACCACAGGGCCACACTCATCCAGTCCACCCCACGAGATGCCGCATGCCTCTGGGTGGGTGGTCAGACATTGTTTATTCAGTGGGAGAATGGGCTCCAGGCTCGGCGCCCCTGGGAGGGAGAGGATGGGGGAGGGGAACAAAGTTCTCACCGCCCCTTTGGGGGCCATGGCTCTTCCCAGGTTCTGCAGGAAGTGGGTCTGTTCTGAATCCATTTGCCGGTTCCCACAAGTCTCTGCTTTCCAGTCCCAAACCTGGGAATGACGGTGCATAGCCTCCCCAGAAGGCTGGGCCCACTCTGTCCCCTGAGGACTCCCACTCCCAGTCACTGCCCTCTTGTCCTACACCAGGTCCTTTGGCAGGAGCTGGGGACCTGGGGCTGGAGGGGGAGATGGCTCTGGCAGGCCAGCTTTGGAAGCCATCTGGGGATCCAGGAAGGAGGGGTGGGTGGCGATCCAGGCGGCTCTGAAGCAGTCGGTGAGGCCCGGGAACTGTGCTGGCGCGCGGGCGGCGGCTCCTCACTCCTGGCCTGGGTGCTCCCCCACAGACCACTTTACCTCCCCTGTCCGCAGAGTCACTATGTCCTCGTAGGTGGCTGTCTGGTCTATGTCCAGGCCCTGGAGACATAAAATGGAGCTCAGGCCCGGGCACACCCTCACCGAGCCAACAGACGGCGGCCACTGGCCTCTCGGCTCAGAGCCTCCGGGGCCTGGACTCCTTACCTCATAGGTGTGGTCCTCCTCCATTCCTGCCTTGCTGTCATCCTGAGGAGGGTGGAGGGAGGGGTCGGAGTTAGTGTGCCCTAGCCCCTACCCCTGGCTGGGCCAGGCTGGAGAGGGCTGGGGACATGGGCTTGGTGGGGAGGACTGGGGAGGGGGTGGGGAGCAAGGTAAGGGTGAGTGAACAGGTGAGCCAAAGGGTGGGCCCTGGGGCTGAGCTGGGCCCAGAGGGCGGCCCCGGGTGCTGGCGAGGTGGAGACCCTGCCCGTGTCTGGCTGGCCCCGTGGCTGCCTTCCTGGCCGTCTCCCCACCCCTGGGGTCACCTTGTCCAGCAACAGGAAGATGGGCACGATGACGAAGAGGATGATGAGGAGGGTCTGGATCATGATGATGCCATCCTTCAGTGTGTTCCGCCTTTTCAACTGTGCCAAGGTGCTGAACCCTGGGGGAGGCGGAGTGGAGGCCGTGAGGCTGGGGCCCATCCTAAGAGCTCGCAGTGGTGGCTTCTGTGCACCCCTGAGGACCCGCTTCCCAGCATCTGTCCTGGGTGTTCTAAGGCCATGCCACCTCCATAAGTGGCTGCTCCTCCCCGGTGGCGGGCTGGGCTGGGGTGGGTATGGCTGGCTGGCTAAGTGAACACCCGGTCTACCCAGCACACACCCATGACTCGCAGCTCCGTGCCACAGCCACAAAACACAGGCTTGGTGGTGCCGTTCTGCTGGCAGAAGTAGATGCCGTTGTCCTCGAACTGGGCGCCTTGGATGGTGAGGGTGTGGACAGAGCCATTCTGGAACTGCAGGATGTGGCCCGGTTCTGGGGGCAGCTCCTGAGGGTCCTGGTCCTTAATTTGCTTCCGGAACCAGGTCACACTGCTGGGGACGCTGGTGTTGTGTATGTAGCAGTGCATCCTCACCACAGAGCCCCGTTTCTTGGCCATGAAGCGTGGATGATGCCATATCCGGGCACAAGAACTTCCTGTGGGTACCAAGGCCGGGCTCAAAATCCTCCTGGGCATTTTCCTGACTGCCGGCCTGTCCTGTAGGTCCCCATCCTGGAGGGCACCTCCCCTGGATCTGCCTATCTTTGCTTCTCAGGGTGTGGGGAGGTCAGGAGGCAGGTGTTGGGGAGCCAGGCCATGTGAGAGGCCACACGCCAAACCACTGGACCCCACCTCTTCCTGACCCATCTGAGTTGTCTTCAGAAGGGCTCTGACCCATTTCTTTTCATGCTCATTACAACAGCCAGGACCAGGCCTCACCCCAAAGCCTGGAGGGCCACAGCTAACTGGCCCTGTCCTTCCAGCTCTCCTTCCCCTGGGCTGTCCTGCACCTGCCTGAAATCCTCAAGGGCTCCCGACTTCCCCCAGAGGATAAAGGCCAAATCCTCAGCCTACCAACTGAGACCTTCCTCCAGCACCTGGGTGAGCCTCCCCTGTGTGAATCTGTTCTACTGTCTTCCTGAACCCTCGGCTTGGGATGGTCTCCCACCTGCTCTAAGGACCTCCTTGGTCCCAGTAAGCAGCCCCTAGGAATCTGTGAACCCCTCACAGATTGCAGGAGCCCATCCTAATTATCCTCATTATGAGGCTGAGCCCAATGCCCCAGCTAGATGGGCCTCGGTAGAGTCCTCTCTGACTCCCCTGATCTGAACTCGGCACCCCCAGGGGCCAGGACTGGAGCAGCTGGTCTGAAGAGAAGACAGCTGGCTGGGGGTGGGGGCTCAGAGGGAGACCCTAAGGAGGCCTGGGGATTGAAGTCCAGGCAAGGATGGAACACAAGGTCAGCCCCGGAACAGTGACCAGACTTGAACACAGACACACTTGCCCACAGAAGGAGTGGGCAAGGTGACTGACCTTGGAGATTCTGGTGCGAGTCCTTTGCTTTCACTGCTGGCATGGGCTCACCTGCAGGGGGGGAAGTGGGCAGGCCCAGGTCAGGCCTCTGCACCCTCAACTGGCTGCCCCACCCCTGCGCCCTCTGCATGCCAAGGTCCACTGCCCCCCTTTCGTGCCCGCTGCTTCGAGACCCCTCGGCTCTCCCCGCCCCTGTGCTGGGAGACACAAGTGGAGAAGGGATACCAGAAGTGGGGAGCCTTGTCCCCAGCTCCCCTCCTCCTCCCAGGCCCAGCTCGTCCACAGCCATAGCTGCCAGCCAGGTCTGTGCCTTGTGCCTCACCCTCCAGGCAGGACAGGGGCTGGGGCTGCAGACCCCAAGCTGGTCACCACTGCTGGGACCCACAGACCCGGGCCCCAGGGCAGCCAGAGGGGGACAGGGAGGCCGAGAGCGTGAGACATAGGAGGAGGCCGAGAGCAGAAGACTCAGTCAGCGACACAGAGCAAACCCAGGAGGCCTCGTCGCGGCCGCCATACCTGAGAGAAGCAGCAGCAGCACCACCAGCCAGTTGCCAGGCACCGGAGACAGCACCAGCCCGGCCATGGTCACAGCTCTGTCCCAGAGCCTGAGCCCGTGACCGTCCGAGGCTCTTGGGGGAAAACGTGTAACTGCCTGGCTGCAGCCCATCACCACCCGCTTCTTCCCCTCCAGGCCCCTTCCTGCCATGCAAATTGTGACCCAGGGGAGGCCTGGGCTCTCCTGGGACACGGGGGGGGGGGGGGGGGGGGGGGGGGGGGGGGGCGGACTTTCATCAGCTGGGCCACTAGGGCTTGAAGGTCGCAGGGTTGGGCAGCGCAGCTGGGAGCCTCGGAGGAAGTCCTGGAAGGGGGCTTCTGANGGCCGCACGCATGCCAGGCGAGCGCGCTACCGCTTGAGCCACATCCCCAGCCCTTTAGAGAGGATTATGTGGGGATTCCCAAGGTCTTTTCCAAGGAGGTGTGTTTCTGAAGGCCTACACGTGCCTGTACTATTCTCAACAATAAGATGTTTAAGTCTCATTTCATAATTGAGGATGCAGAGGCTCAGAGATGAAGCAGTCTGCCCAGGCTCTCCCAGTTCCTAAGGGATGGCTCCTTGAGGCCCCCAGTCTCCCCGTGCCAAGTGCTTCAGCAGCCCCATCTAGTAAAGAGGGTGGTGTCCTTTGATGTGGGCAGGACTCTCCTGGGCCAACCAGGATCGAGTCCCCGCATGGAAGGTGTTGAGTAAAGGTGGTGGAATTGCAGGCAAGGGACCTCAGCCCCAGGATGGGCTGTCTGCCTGCATTCAGGACAACAGAAAAAAACAGCCCACCATAGCCAGATTCAGTGAACCAAATCACGCCGTCCTTCACATTTGTATTGCACGTTTCATTGTTCATCTGTGTTTTCACTTCCTGTATCTCAATGGACCCTTGAGTTTGCCCCGGTGCAATCAGAGCATGGAGGAAGCTCCATGGGGAGGGTGCTGGGGGAGGATGGGGCAGATCCTGTGTGTCGATGGGGTGTTGTTTACACTGGCTGACAATCCCGGAACAATCTAGAACAACAGGACCATCTAGGTAATTCCTTCTGCTTTGGGAATTATTCTCCAGGGATAGTGCTCCATTGAGAAAGAAGCGCCACGCTCTGAGGGGTGTTCCAACAGCTGCAGGGAGCCCGGGGTGCTTTTCCTGAGGTGTGCCCTTGCTGGAAATAACCACGCCCACCTTGTGCTGCGGTTACATGTGGACGTCTTTTCCCCTTTACTCCTGCTCGGTAGGCTCTTAAAAGTGAGGCTGGGTTTCTGCCGTTCATTCGTTCACTCACTCTCTCACACATTCTCTATTCAGGCATTAACTGATTCAATAAGGAGTTGTGCCAGGCAGACGGGCACACCACACTCTCTTTTCTGGAGCTTACGATCCACTGGGGAGAGAGACAAGAGCCAACAAATACAAAATTTCAAATTGAGGGAAACTACCATGAAGGAAATGGCAGAGAGACTGAAGGGGAAAGAACAAACCAGGGAGTGGAGAGAGTGGGCAAACCGGTGCAGGCGGGGACCCCAGGATTAAAAGCATCTGCTGAGTGGAACAAATGAATGGAGGACACAACTGAGAGAGGAACTCAGGGCTCTAACCAGCCAGGGACAATGAGGTGGATATGTCCTACCTAGATGTCCTCCTGCAAGTAATTATTTTGAAATAACAAAGACATGAACTTGAATGTACGGCAACATATACATGGAAAAAAAAAGAAAGAAAAGAAAAGAAAAAGTGAACAAGGCTGTATGCTCGAGCTGACTCCAAGTGCACACCAATTTTCTACTAGACTCGGGACTTGCAGAACCTGGACTGAGAAGAGGTGTCTTGCCTTCCCTTCCTGCCCCGTGGAGAAAATGGGTTAGGTCCAAGGGGAAAATGTCTCTTTCTTTCTCTTGAAAATTGTATTGGGATCAGTCAAAACATGTTTCAACAAACTACACTCGAGTTGAATTCAGGACTTAATGCCTGTTAATTTTTGTCCTTTGCGGTCATCTAAGAGAAGGCTTTTGGGCAGGGTAGGGCAATGGGGTGTTTCAAGCGAAAGGCTGCTGTTTCCATGACAACACAGGACCCAAGGATGTCATACCAGTGCCGCTTGGAGACCTGGACACACCCAGAATTCCCCAGATTGGGTTCTGACTCCAGCTCTGAAGTGGACTAACGGGAACAGACAGAAGTCAGGAACCCCAAACTTCATGTTCCTTGATGGCCTTCGGGGCCCTGTGTAGGATAAGGATGAATGCTCCCCCCACTGTCACCCCAGCAGTGGCAGATTTTCACATTTTGTTTTTCTCTCACCTCTGGTTCTGCTGGAAAAACACTCAAAGCCTCAGGTCAGATGGCCCCAGCCCTAGCAGCACCTGCAGCAGGAGGGCCGGAAGTCAAGCTAGGTCAGAGGAGGAACCAGCCTGTATTTAAACCAAGGTCCCAAGGGACCCAGCTGGATTTCCCCCAGTGGGCAGTGGGGCATGATCCCACCGAGGGTCTCAGAGCTGTTCTGGGGAGGGGGAGGCTGGCAGGAGCTGGGATCCTGCAATGGTGGCCCAGGGACAGACTCTCGAGCATGTTGGGAGGACTGTCCAGGTCTTGTTAACAAGGGGTGGGTCCTGTCGGGCTTCAGACTTTCTGAACAACAGGAAGAGTGAACCTCTTCAAAGCACAGAGCTTTGAAGAAGTCAAAGTTGTCCCAGGATCTCCTCTCCCTTTTCTTTCCCTTCTCCTTTGGATTAAAGTCTTACTGCTGCAAAATCCTGCAAGGGAGGAGATGTGCTGGGGGGGGCAAGAATGTTGCGTCTGGAGTCGGGAGGTTTGTGCCTGACCTTTGGCCAATCCAGGCGATTCCTTGTTTGTAAGATGGGGATGAGGGGTAAGCAGGGTCTTAACCCAGATAATGTAAATGAGTATGGGGTGCTCAATAAAATTTTATTGATTATTAAGAGGTGTGTTCATGGGCTGGAGTTATGGCTCAGTGGTAGAATGATTGCCTAGCACACTTGAGGTACTGGGTTCGATCCTCAGCACCATGTAAAAGTGAAATAAAGGTATTGTGTGTCCACCTACAACTAAAAAATAAATGTTTAAGAAAGAAAAAAAAAGAGGTGTGTTCAATAAAGAATTTGCACGCGCAGCTCAGGAGGCTGAGGCAGGAGGATCTCAGGTTCAAAACCAACTTCAGCAACTTTGCGAGGCCCTCAGCAACTCAATGAAACCCTGTCCCAAAAAAATAAGTGTTGAGCCCAATAAAAGTTTTTGTTTACATTCTGTCTCCTGATTGTGGAGGTAATTATACAAACCTATAGATATCTATACATGTTCTAGAATTTATAGAACTATATACCAAAAGAAAATCAACTAAATTTTACTATATGGTTAAAAAAAATCAGCATCTGGTTCAACTTCTGTTCTTCAGATAGTTATTTATTTATTTATTTATTTTTTGAGATAGGTCTCACTATGTTGCCCAGGCTGGTCTTGAACTCCAAGGCTCCAGCGATCATCCTGCCTCGGCCTCCATGTAGCTGGGATTATCAGTGTGCACCACCACTCCCAGCTTCAGATAGGTTTTATGATTCCCAGTTTACAGATAAGACAACTGGGGCTCGGGACACTCCTCATCCCCTCCACCAGCACCCTGCTAGGTTTCCGCGCCAGAGTCAATTCTGGGGCCAGGAGCCCATGAGACAAACAAAAACACCCACATAAAGCCCCTAAAACAGAAAAACAGCCAGGGAGGGCTTCTCCTTCATAACCCATGAAGACCAGCACCCCTGCAGGGTGTCTGGTGGAGGGACAGTCCCTGCCCAGATGATCTTCTGTCAACAGGCCCTTCAAGGCCATAGGGAAGCCCAGGGTTTCAAGGGTGTTAAATTGTCTTCCTGTTCAGCCAAGGCCTTCCCCGACCCAGGGCAGCCCCCAGCAGGGGGAGACCCTGATTGGGGGAAAAGTGAAGACTCTACAACCTCTGCCGGCTACCCAGGTCTCTGGTGGAGGCAGGTGGACAAAATTAGTGCCGCTATGCAAAGCGACAGGAAAGCACAGGATCCAGCTCAGTGGAGGCAGATGCCAAAACAAGCCAGTTCCCTGTGGCGCCCGGGTCAGGAAGGGAACTGCCCAGCCCAGTTCGCCCAGTCGGGCCCCCAGTGTGTCCTGCCTGGTGACACAGACAGGCCGGAGACTCCAGGTGTGCCTGCCTTACCCCACCCGCTCCCGGCCCCCAGGCTCTAGGGGGATCTGCTAAAAATTGGTGCTTCTCTCCGGCCTTGGTTCTCCGGGTAAACTGGAAGCTCCCTCAGGGTAGGGATTGGCCTGCCTGAATCAGAGCGTGGACCACAGAGAGGTGCTCTGGATCCCCGCCAGGTCAACAGGAAGTGGCACCCAGCCTGACTTGGGTGGGGGTTCTGGGCACAGGTTAATGGCACTTGACCGGGCTGTGAGGCACTCCCAGTCAGTCTCACACTGATAGATTTGGCCCTAATCTGTAGGGCCCTAGGGCCATTGTGGGGATAACCAGGGCCCTCAGATATGATGCTGGGGAAGTCTGAGGGGTCACCTGACTAAGGACCCCCAACTTCACCACACTATAGACTCCCTCTTTATGAATCTCTTGATGGCTTTGGGTCAAGTTTAAGAGAAAATGTCCCTGGCTTGGTGGGAGATGGGTAGGGAATGTTGTAGAGGCAGGAAACTCCCGACCCTCAGGAAGCTTCCAGTCTAACTGGAGAACCAAGAGTGCGTGAGCAGCCTGGGCAGCTGCCGAGGCCTAGCCTGCTCTGAACAGGGCTTGGCACTGCCTGGGGTGCTGTGGGAGGACTTCCTATAAGGAGGCCTTGATGGACAGGATTGGGATGGGGTAGGTAGGGGAGGACAAGATCTTCCAGGGTTGAGACTCTGGCCCTAAAGGCATCAAGGACAGAGGAGGGCAGGGTGACAGCAGCCTTGGCTGGATCTGCCTTCTGTGGTGGCTGTAGGCCCAGCCAGGGCCAGAGGTAATGGGCAAAGACAGGGGCATGTGACCACAGGCCCCAACTGGGTCTTCAGAGACAAGGGAGGTGATCATGGTGGTCCCCACCGCCC